TGGAGTTGTGATTGTGCCATTTACATTTTTGTAAATATGTCGACCATGGTAAACTAGCTGTTTTGTGACTCCCTCGAATAAATTGTCATCTCTTGGTCACTTACTTTGCTGCTGTTTAGTGAGTCACTTAAGTGCAGAATATTATATATACTGTTGATCATGATGCTTCTGCACTTAAGTGAAGACAACTTCAGCAGTAATTTTTTTTTTTTTTTTACTATTGCTAACAAAGGCAGCAGGGTTGTATTGCTATGGCTTTGTTGGGCAAACAGCTCGCATAGTTGTTGATACCACTAGTGACATGGTCTCAAGCACACATATCAAAGTGGTGCAGCAACTTAGTTTTCATCGCTTTGTTTTAAAGCCAACCATTGCATGAAGAAACATTAGTCTTGTTGTTGACAATGGTGTTTTCCACACATGTAAGATGTGCTGCACAGCCACCTCTTCCCTAGTACCTTTTATGTGTTATGCTAAAGATATTTGAAGTGTGTACATTTTGACTTTATCTTTCTTTTATCAGATAGGTGCTCTGTTCCTTTATTTGCAAGAAAAAAGGCAGTGTTCTTTGAATGCCAATCAGCAAGGACATGTTCAAAGGTTTTACTCAGGGTCATTTCCATAATTTCACATAACTTGTAGCTTTATTCAGTTTTTTTATCTGTTTTTAATATCGGTAGCACTCTTGTGTGCGATGACACTGGCCTGCCGTACAATGGAGACCTGTTGAATGCACTGTGGAATTTAGGTTGTGCTCCTTGGCTGCAAGGCAGTGGCTGTGGACAGTTGCGCACTCACCGTTTCACACAGCACAAAAGTGAGCGAAATTTTACACGATCATTTTTTTTTAGTATATAGGCATTGTTAAGTCCACTTGTGCAACAGAAATGCCCTTAGCACTTTTTATGGTGTATTTGGCTGTAGGTGAACTGGGCGTTGGCTGCATATTTTTTTTAATGACTTTCTCTCAAGGATGACTGTCTGTTATACACACTCAAACACAAATGGGATTGTCTGATTTGTACTTGTCTGTGTTAGTTGTTGTTCAGTACAGTTCACTGCAGTGTATAAATTATGTGCAGCCCTGGTAGATAAAGCCCGTTGAATGCTGAGTGTGGCACCTGCTCAGGATAAGGGTGGCCTTTTCTGCTTCACCTGTGGCAACACGCCTTGCAATCATTTCAATGACTCTTCAGTACAGCTGTAGCAGCAGTATGGATGTTGCACTCTGTTGGTCCTCCAATTGAAGTATGCTTTGGTAATTTGCATCAATTTGTTCGTCAATAAAGAATGCCTTTCCCTATTAGTATCCATCACTAACTGTGTTTCCCACCAGTTGTGGTCCAGGATTCAGTTGCATGACAAGTCGCATGTGATGCAAGGGAGACCGCTTGCATCTTGAGCAAGGTGCTTGCCCTTATATTTGGTGTGGAAAGCATGCATTAGTTTGTTGGTATAATTGCAAACAAGTGCACTGTGGGAAACTGTTCAGGTGAGACAAGAACATTGCTAACACTTAGCATTAGAAAAAAAGTGCACCTTAAGAACAATGGAGCAACGCCAGGTAAGTAAAACACTTCATTAGCCCACCAAGCAGCATTTAGGCCCTTTCAAATAACTCGGTAAACGAAAATTCGTTAAAAGAAAACTGCTGCTAAAATGGAAAAAGTGCTTATAAGAAAGTTGGTTTCATTTTTGCATTCTCCTCCCTGGTCATCATTCAGTAAACGGAACTCCTACTAAATAGAACATATTTTCTGGTCCCTTCAAGTTCCATTGAATAAGACTCTACTGTATTCTTAAGTTAGAGGTATATTGTAGCTGGATTATGACAGTGCACAGGTCAACAAGAAAAAAAATACACCACAAAACGGGCGCTATGTGGTGTAGCTGAAAGGGCAGCACATTAGGGATGATGTAATGAAGCAAATGTGTGAAATTCCTCCAATGCCTGATCAATTGACTCACTATTAAGCAAGTATTAGAGATGCAGTATACTGTGATACGTTGCTTTGTGTGTATATGGTGAATTGCACAAAGTGTAAAGTGTGCGCATACCATTGCTTTGGTATGGGTAAAGCACATGCAATTGTTCACTATTATTGTCTGTTTTTATATAGTTATTTTTCTGTAGATCTCCACATGCTTTCCCAACATTTTCATTGATGAAGAGTAGCTTTGTTTTGGGATACAAGGATGACCAACTTTTAGGACCCCAGTTGTGAAGTATTGAGTAATTCCTAATGACTGGAAGTTCAGGAAATTGCCCATCTGTCTAACATTTAGGAACCCCACATTTATGTAATGAAACAACATTATAAGCAACCTAAAAGCCGGCGCCTCTCGTAAGCTCCAGGAGGCTGAGCCAGGGAGCAAAGCTGAAGGAACGCCTGTACCTCTTAGTCAAGAACTCTATGCGAAAGGGGGGTTATCTTAAATATAATAAAAAGTGCCAGTTATATATATGCGCGCCCTTGCAGGTACTGGAGCTTTCCGGCGCTCGAAGGTAGGGATGACTAGAAAAACGGCTATTTGGGCTAGTTGGCTGAAATACATGCTAATAAGGGCTGCAGCGCGAGCACGAAGGTGCTAGATGAAACGTGAAACGAAAGGCGAGGCAAGGAAAGCAAAGAGGACAACACGAGCGCTGACTACCAACTGAATTTTATTATTCGCAGCACACATTATAGTATATACAACAGGCAATCTATTAACAGCAAACGTGAGCAACGTGACATATTCTGGGGAAGGGTATGATAAAAAGAAGGTACAATGATAAAATGGCTAACCCTTATCTAGAAGCGCGAACTCTTTGTCATGCAACGCCATCAAGGGTTGGCCCACGCATCCGTCACCATGTTTTCTAATAAAATACGCCTCAGCTATTTCACGAGTTACTTTGTCCATGTGGCGTACCAGCACACTCACGCCCGGAAATCGAGGCTGGCACTCGCAGCTTTTACAGTGCAGAACGAGGTTTCAACTAATTCCTTTGCATACATCATTCATATGTTCTCCTAACCTTTTATTAATGCACCGCCCAGTGTGGCCTATATAACAACGACCGCACGTTAAAGGAAGCATGTAAACAACACCAACTGCCACATGGACAAAGTAACTCGTGAAATAGCTGAGGCGTATTTGATTAGAAAACATGTGACGGATGCGTGAGCCAACCCTCGGTGGCCTTGCATGACAAAGAGTTCACGCTTTTAGATAAGGGTTAGCCATCTTATCATACCCTTCCCCAGACTATGTCACGTTGCTCACGTTTGATGTTAATAGATTGCCTGTTGTATATACTATCATGTGTGCTGCGAATAATAAAATTCAGTTGGTAGTCAGCGCTCGTGTTGTCTGTCCTCTTTGTTTTCCTTGCCTCGCCTTTCGTTTCACGTTTCTTCTAGCACCTTAGTGCTCGCGCTGCAGCCCTTATTACCATGACTAGAAAGCCACCCTACTCCCCTAAGTGCAGCTATCCTACTCAAGGAAGCGGCTCAAAAAGAGGAGGCACTGCGCCATGCTCCCTACCGGGCTGCAGAAATCAGGTGCCTTCTTCCTAGCCACAACCACCACCACCAAAAAGAGGAAATAATTGCACCCATACCGCACCTCTGGCTAGCTGCCTTGGTTCCGGCACCCGCCCTCGAAAGAATGCTACCTTTTCCTCTAGGTACACTCTCGATGCCACTACGATGTATATACAAAAAGTTTTAGGAGCAAACTACCTTAGCGTGTCAGCGTGCATCGTCTTCGGTTATAATGGTACATTTGCTTAGCGCAATAGAGGACGTCGCCGCCTCGGCGCTCGCCGTGTGGGCAGAGAGCGCGAACGGCGCGCGCCGTGCTATATAGATAGGGCTGCAGAAATAAGCGTCTTTTTCCACAGAACCACAAACAACAACAAACAAATGCTTGATGCACTGCGCAATTAGGTGCCTTATTACCTTCTTCAAGAACCACGCAATCATTCTGTGATGAATGGCTCTGAGCCGTATATGGTGCAGCAGTTGCATCTTTTCCTTCCAAAGTTCTCTGTTCTGTAATGAGCTCTCATCTACCACAGGGAACGAGAAAGCGCTCTCGCCTTCAAGAAACAATGCCGCGGCATTGTTCCTTGCCGCTATAGCGAGTTTCTCGACTGAACAAACTGACTGCTCACGCTGCACAACCGTTCTCCGGCGACCCCGTACTGAATCTCGGCCTGCGCAATTTTATAGATTTATACAACGTATGTATGTTGACCGTGTAGTGTAACAGTTGCCACTATATTGGTTGCCAAGTTTTTAAAGTAAAAAAGAAATATTCGTGGTCATTTCGCTGCCAAGCATAGGAGAGAGTTTTAATTCTGGAAAAAGCCCGGTGCTGCTCCACGGCCCAGGCCTGCATTTCTGACCTTTTAAAGTGCACCGTGTTTGCATCTCAACCGGTGAGCCCATTTATTCCGGCTCATCTCGCTTTTGTGAAAGGCCTAGCTCATGGTGTGGATTCGAGCCTGCAGTGTGCGCCTCAGAGGTCTTGTTTTCAGCTGCAAGGGCCATATCAGTGTACCGATGCTCACGAGTCTTGAAAAAAAAGAAGAGAGCCCCTACAGAGTCGGTCATTGTAACATTTGCAGGCGTGAGCAGACTCTGTTAACTATGTACGACTCTGTCAATTTAAACAGTTAACAGAGTCACTGTAGTGAAGAGTAGCACAAACATATTATAGCAAATTAGTAGTGGCGGGGCAGTAGCTAGCGTAGCCAGCGTCGACCCAGCGAGTCAAACAATTGTTATAAAAGCCAATTTGTTTTTGTTTTCTTTGCTGCCAATCAAATAAACGCTATAATTAGCTATATTTGTAAGTCTAATACATTGTTTAACTTTAGTTGTAAAGTACACTTGCTTCCTTCGTGCATAAAAGTACGTCGTTGACGACTGCAGCGCTGTTGGCGTTTTGGCTTTTACTTCTTGCTGTGTAACCAATGAACAGCTTCACTTTTTGGCGCGATTTGCACCAGAAAACGTTGGAGATTGTCAGCGCTTTCAACTGCGTGAGCAAACGATTTTTGAGCATGCATATATTGTTTAGGTATATACTTCACCTAATTTATATCCTTGTATTGTGAAGCAAAGCTCTTGTCGCTCTGCGTTCTGTAAAATAGGCGGAAAAAGGCTTGTTGAGTGCGTCGATTCGCCGATACTATGCGTTGTGGCCTCTGAGGACTCGCGTCTAGATCTCCTAGCTTAGCATGAAGGAAAAAGCTGAGTGTAACAATCTCGAAGAAACCAAAGCTCAAAACGGACATTCATCGCATATTACTAATGGATCGACACCGAATGAGAGTGACAGCTCTGTTCTGGACAGCTCTGGAACATCTTCTGATAGTCCAACATCGAGCGTCTCCCCGAGTTCGGCGCAGCAAGACCCTGAGCGCCTCCACATTGCTCGGCGCAGCAAATTCGGAAGAGTGCGAAAACCCAAGGTCAACCCTTGCATGGAATACACTCCCATAGTTCGAGGGTATTCATCGCACAACCGTGCGAAACAGGGAACACCGTCGCACAGCCCGCCGTCCCCGTCACATGGCGGCGAGACGCCGACAAGCGTCTCGACGGCAGCGAGCGAACCTACCCAGTCATCGCAGTATCTCGTGGGAGACTTGCTGTGGGTAAAAGTAGGCAATCATCCCCACTGGCCTACTATGGTTTCTTATGACCCGGTGAGTGGAACACACACGAAAGTGGTCCGAAATAAACGCATCTACCACGTTCAGTATTTCGGAACCGCGGTTCAGCATGGCTGGACGCAGCCGAATCGCACGCTGCCCTTCGAAGGGCTCGAGAAGTTCATGGAGCTGATTGATTCAGGACGCGTACCGCATGGCGTGCCTCCTCGCAAGCGAGATGACTGGAAGGTAGCAGTTGAGGAAGCGGTTGCCGCCATGCAAATGACGCGAGCCCAACGCAAACTTCAACTCACCTTCAAATACTACGATCCGCCATCGAAGAAGTTGAAGTCGGAACATCCGCCCAAGGAGAATGGCGTCGACCAGGAGGCGACAGAAAAAAACTGTCTCATCTGCGGAGCGTCAGGCGCCACGCTGACTTGTACAGGGACATGCGGGATGAGCTTCCACCTGGGCTGCATTGGCATCACTCAACCGCCGGATGCCTTTCTTTGTGACGAGTGCACCGCTGGTGAGTTGACTATTACAAGCGTAACTTATTTACCTTAACCTTGGCCTTAGATGGTCTCAGTGCTGCAGCATTGAGACCATTTTCAAGTTAATAAGACAGATGCTTGGGCTAGTTGGTGATTACGAATCAACATATTTGCACAGCGCAATACTACAAGTCGTAACTACTCGTAGTCTTGCGCTGTGCAAATATATTTTCAAGTTAATTGTTTTATTGGCACTGTCAATGATCTTTAAAAAATGCACGTTTATTCATTTGAGAATGCTACTCTTACTATGTGCAAAGGGTGTTTGAAAGTGGAATGTGGCTTTATTGCAAGACACATGAAATGGAATTTTGGCCCGTGCATTTCATCAGTTGACCCACAGCGATTGCCCATCTTTACCTGCGGGCTGGTTCACCTTCTGAAGCACCCCCAAAGTTGTGTGTAGTTGGCACATCAGTTGTGTGGAAGCTCACAAGATGGAGGAAGGTTCATGAAAGGAAAAGCTGTCATCCACCTGTTTGTATTATAAGTCAAAGGAAATAAATGCAGGTTGCACTTAAAGAAAGTTTCCCTGCTGATGCGGCAGCTAGGTAGTATTTGATGAATCGTTGACTAGGAGTAATTTTCGTCAGCTAGGTGACTTTCCATTTTATGAAGTTCATGTGGATGTCCTTCGTATCTTTATTGCCATGCAACGGGTGGACGACAGTTCTTTCCTTACATAAAAAGTCTCTTTTTGGCCTGACTTTGTTTGCATCCTAACATTTATCAGATTTTAACCCGGGGCTTAATCGTACAGTTTCACCATGCTGATGTTCACTGTGCATTCAGCTTTCGAGAACAGCAGGCAAGTTAGTGAAGTACATGGAAACTCGTATAAATTTTTCAGTAAAATACAAAACTAGCAGAAGTGATTCTGTGAACGTGTGCATAAATGGGCTATTTCATCGTAAGCATGCATCTGTGGAACAGCGTGAAAGTCGCTGTAATTGCTGGGGTGCCATGCCCTTTCCCTAGTTGAGGAAGTTGCATTTCAGCTTTGACACTGCAACCGTTACACCCATGCTAGATAGGCACAATTGATTGATATGTGGGGTTTAACGTCCCTAAACCACCGTATGATTATGAGAGACGCTGTAGTTGAGGGCTCCGGAAATTTCGACCACCTGGGGTTCTTTAATGTGCTCCAAAATCTGAGCACACGGGTCTACAGCATTTCCGCCTCCATCGAGAATGCAGCCGCCATAGCCGGGATTCGATCCGGCGACCTACGGGTCAGCAGCTGAGTACCTTCGCCACGAGACCACCGTGGCGGGGCTACACAGACACAAGAAGTTACATGCAGTAGTGAAATTTCTGAATTACATTTTTTTATGCAGTTGCCATAGGTCTAAATTTAATGGCATTGGAGCTATAAAGTCGATATCAGCAACTACTACAGTAAGAAATTTTAAGGTTTTGATTTAAACATACTAATTTTAACAAGTGTAATCCGTATTCGAGGTTAGTGAAATGTAACATTAAGCATACTGTAGGTGCCATTGGCTGTTTGTTTTCATCTTTTACAATGTTGTAGCCAACCATAGTAGCTTTGGCCACTGCATGTTGAATCTGAAGCCCACAGGTAACATTGTGGCTGTCATGTCAAAGTGGATGCCATTTTGAATTGAATCCCACTATAGTGCAACTGCAGAATAACATGAGGTTGTCATGTTATTATATGTCATGTATAAAATATTCTTTGCCCAGTATATGCCATTTCAAATAATTTTGTACTGCACTCGGTGAGCTCTTGAATCAAGAACACGCATTTTGCAGTTAGTCATCTGTCAATTGATTGACAAATTGACAGATGGCTTTAAGGCAAATGATGTTAGGTTTGCACTCTGGTCCTGTGAAAATGCAGTTAAATCTTGAGGCATTATGAATTTAATGCCACTCTCTGGGCTTGTGCGATACAGGTACTTATTTGCTGGCGTTTATGTGCCAATACCGCTGTGATTACACGGCAGGCCATAGTGGGGGACTCTGGATTAATTTTGACCACCTGGGGTTTAACGTGCACCAAAATAAAACCACACAGATGTTTTTTTGCGTTTAACCCCCATCAAAAAGCAGCCATCGTGGCTCGGATCTGAACCCGCATGCTCGAGCTTCGCAACCTTACACCCTATTTGCTAAGCTGCTGTAGTAGGTTTGAGAGATTTAACGTGCGCACCTGCACAGTGTGCTATGAGGGACACTACGGGAAGGCTCAATGTAAGCTTTGGCCATCTGGAATTTTTAATATGCACCTAAGGAACTAATGTAATCAACTTATAATAAGCAGTTTGTACTACTTCAGTAGTAATATATATATATATATATATATATATATATATATATATATATACGCACACACACACACCCACACACATACAGTATCGCAGCGAACTAGGACAAAGGTTTTAAAAAATAATTAAAATATATAATGTGCTCAAGGAAGTCCTCTTGTTGTATATTAGTGCTAGTCGTATGTACATACCTGTATTTTTTTCATGACTAAGTACTTATTACTTACCTTAAATTAGCAAACTTTTTCTCTTTGCTTCAGTTGGTAAGGCGTTGGCTTTATGTTGTACCTTGCCTCAAGCAACACTTGAATCGTGCATTTATGTTTTGCTGAGATTAGGCCTAGTAGCTTTTTTTTTTTTTTTTCAGTGAAAGAAAGGAAAGCATGCAAAAAACACACAAAATATGAAATATACGTGCACACTGCAACTTGAGCTCTTCAAAGTGTTGTTTAATTGATACATGGCTGTGTTGTTCATTACTGTATTGTACAAGGCTTCACCCTCGAAGATGGACATGTCAGCAGTGTCTTTTGGTGCACATTTATCAAATAGCATGAGGCTCTGTACAATGAATGAATGCAGCTGTGTAACTTTGGTACGAGACATCAATGATTATAATTGAGTTCTCGAGGAGACAAAAACACCTCATCATTCTAAATCAATGTAGTGTCTCTATTATATATTTGAAGGGTGTCACATATGCTGTTTCGACTGCCACCTTTTCTTGCTCTGCATCCTTTTTTTTTTCTCTGCCAGGTTCGCACCCATGTCTTGTGTGCAATCGCACAGAGGCCACTCAGAAATGCTCCATGGAACAGTGTGGCACATTCTACCATATGTCCTGCCTGAAAACATTGCCATTGCCAGTCAAGGAGGACTCACCGATGTGCCCTGCGCATTTCTGTCTGCCCTGTGTCCAGCAAAAGCCACGTGCAGTTAGCATGAGAGGCAAGTTCTTAGAGCTATAGAACACGTCACTACTTCCCAACAATCTTTTTGCTTTAAGGGGGAGGTCAAAACAAGTCATTTTTTTTATGTTATTTTCGGATTCTGTAGTGACCGATGCACAATCTGGTGAATTTTCACGTGTCTTGATTTGATATTTTAGCCGTGGTAGCATTTTATATTATGCATGTGATGAGAATATTCCTCGATGGATGCACAAAAATGGGCTTTTTTCCGGGACACGCATCTGCCCTTTTACGTGTCTGATCGTGGCCATCTTGGTCACGTTCGAAAGAGCCTCGTTTCCTTTTTATTTTTCACACCACTGCTACTGCATACACCAAGTGGCCACCAAGAAAAAGCCCGCGAAAATATAGACCTGATGTGCGGTCTTATTGGTCTACTAGTGTACATGACAGTGAGCGCACACGCCGTTGGCAGATTTGCACAGTTGTCTGCTTAAGCTGCAGCTGTTTGCATCGGAAAATGCGGCTGCAGCGCACAACCATGCCGAAGTTGGCTACAAAGCACCAGTTTGGCGGACGTACGAAAAAAACAAAAGGTGTACAACTTTCAAAGGAACAGCCGATCACCTTCAGATGTCGACTCGCCTCCCGTGGCGAGTGGACTCGAAGAAGCTGCTGAGAACACCGACTGTGGGTTATACCTAGCGCGTGAAGGAGGCTCTAACAGGAATGACGTACAATTAACGTTTTGGTGCGACACCATCATGTTGAAGCCTGGTGAATTACTGATAATTGAAAAGGATGCCGAAGAAAAAAATTGCTAGGCCTGCACGGAACACACAGTCACAGCGAAAACTGGAAGAGCAGCTTTTCAGAGTCTTTTATAAACACTCTGGGTAAATACTAGAAGCACACTTGCTGGGTACCCACTATGCCATAAGTAATCATAATTTTTGTGTAGTAGTAGGCTGGCATTCACTATGCTATTTTTTGTCATTCTTCAAAGAAGCGTGGCATCTGCTAAACACTTTCAACGAATTTTCTGTTACAATCAGTGGCTGACAATGATGAAGAATTACGGCTGAAGTGGATATTTGCCACAGTTAATAGGTGATGAAGAACAAGCTTTTGTAATGGGTTGGAGCATTGGACGACCAGACATCACACAATGTGAATTGCATAATGAGTATGCAATTACATACATCACACAATGCACATTACGCAATTCACATTGTGTGGCGTCTGGTTGCAGTTTTATTAAAACGCTTTATTACTCATATTAACGTGATTTCTTTCGCGACATCAAGTGTGCCTAAGGCAAGTTTGTGAACGAGTCCCAAGCACCGGCGTGGCTCAGCAGTAGAATACTGGGCTAGCATGCAGTGAACTTGGGTTCGAATGCTGCTATGTTCTTGGTGTTTTTATTTGAGTTTTTTTTTCTTGTTTCATGCGATAGTGGTTACAGACACCGGCGGGGGCGGTGGTGGACAACTACGGCACCGCGCATCACTTGTCTTGTGATCTCATAACAGCTTTCGCTGTAAAACTACCAAACCTTTCATCAACGCCGGCTACTAAGGGAAAATCAGATCTGCTTGCTTGTGCAAACGACACTGCCACGGACGACGTCGTGGCTGGCTCACATGTGATAGATACACACTTCGCTTAGGTGAGCCTTGACGCTCTAAACGGTATGCAGTCGAACTTCGAGTGGAAAGAGTGCGGCGGCAATGTTTTAGTGTGCCTAGGTGAGCACGAATATGGCCTCGCCATAACCTTCTCGGTCTCTGGGTATGCGATTGTGTATCATTGTTTTAAAGGCTACAGATCATCACAGTTTGATATCTGTGTGTCCAAATATGTCTTGGCACAATAAGGAGGAATTGCTTTCACGAAGCCCTGAGTAGTGGCGCCATGTGTCTGGTCATATTTGCAAAACAAGCGAAAGAAAATGACTGAGTACTGAACGAGCGCTTGGATGCGTCTTCGTGATAAGTGAAAGTTTTTTTTTTCTTAATGTAGTGTGAACGACATCATCTCTAGTGCATTCCTTAACGTGACCCCTTGTAAACTATATTGAAAGTCATTTCAGTCCGATATTTTTGTTGCACTCAATCTTAGAAACTTCAAGAGATCAGGAGTACGCAAATGGGTACCATCACATTTTGAGACAACCGTTCAATTTTTTGAATTAATAATTTTTCTGCATTTGTTTTTAAGGGCAGGGAGTCATATAATACAGTTTTCCAAAAGCTTTTTTCATTGGTGCGTTCCTGGGACTAAGGAGGTTAAAGATTGTTACGTTGTGCGAGATTTGTGGTGATAAAGCGCCGGTGTGGAGTTTGCCGCGCATGAACAACGGAAAATCGTGCAACCCGTTTGTCGTGAACATTCTTGTCGCACGTGCTATGAAAAGCACTGGCAGTCAGCAGAGTGCATTGAATGACATTTTTGTGACAATGAATGTGTCTTTCCGAAGCATGCATACCAAGACATAGCAGACACATCTAAAGTCGAAGCGGACGTCGGCCGCGACTGCAGCGGCTGATAAATGCATATCAGAAAGCGCGCTCACTGTTTTCAATCTTTACAACAAACTGAAGCTCGGTGACCAAGGAAACACTGCCGTTTCCTCCGTTGGTTCGTGGATGACGCATGGACACTCATCCCATATCTGTGTTGGCGCTGTAGAACTTTTCACGAGTTTAGTCCTTGACTATGTGGTACTAAGTAATTTTTGCACTGCGTGCAAACGGGGACCGAAAGAAGGGAATGCAAAGTACCAGTCGTGGAAGGAGAGCCTCATATGCCAAAAGAACTCAAGCAAAAGATCTGGGGAAATGGAAGTGCAAGCTGGACTAATGCTTCTTCAGAGATCCCTGGAAAAATACAACCTCAGGTATACAACAATACTTTGAGATGGTGACAGCCTCACCTTTCTCGCACAGCAGGAGGCCAAAGTGTATGGCTATATTCCATTCAACAAGGAAGGCTGTCAACCATGTTGGAAAACGAATGGGCACAGCATTATGTAACCTCATTACTAAGCAAAAGGGGGACTGGAAGGGAGAGCCTTGGTTGCCTAGTTACCACGCTCACTTCCTATTATGGCTTGGCACTGAAGACCAATAAAGGTGACACGAAGGCCATGGAAAGAGCTGTCATAACCTATCACCATGTCACCTCTAATGACGAAGTGTCTAACCACAGTTTGTGACCAAACAGGCAAAGATTTTTGGTGCTGCCTGAATGCAGCCACAGCAATAGGCGAGCCAATCCCCAAGCATCACTATAACTTGCCACCTCATGTCTGCAAGGCCCTTTTGCCCATCTACGAACGCTTGTCGGATGAAAGGCTTCTTGAACCATGCCAGCGGGGGAAAGCCCATGATGGCAACGAGAGCCTCCATTCCGTTGGTTGGGTGCTCTCAGCTAAAGACCGCCATGCGTCACTGCTTTCCATCCAAGTTGTGGGTGAGGCTGTGTTAAAATTCAGTGCTGGAAATGAAGCAGCCTCAGCAGCAATCCTGAAGGAACTGAACGTCAATCCTGGACTCCCAGCAAAAAAACACATGGCAGAAAAAGACTGCCGCAGATCGATTGCATCAGCTCGCAAGCGTGCCTCCGCAGAAAACATGCAGCGGCCATTGAAAAAACGTCATTTCGGTGACTCAAAACAGGAGGACTACATGCCTGGTCCTACTGAGAATGCTGGATTTGTAAATTATTGTAAATGAACAGCTGTTCCATGCTACTGTTTGCTCGAAATGGACTTGTGTTTTTTGCATGATTCTCAGGATTAAAATTTTGCTGTGGTTGCAGACTTGCCTAAAGGATATCTCTGCCTCCAGAGCGGCTAGGACTGCCATTTTCGTTGTGACATGTAGCTCTATTTTTAGTGTACACAATGGTAGGTGTGAATGTCTAAATGAGATCGTCAAAAATTTTATTCTTGCTGGAAATTGGAGCATAAAGTGGGTGTGTCTACTACACTGAATTTTAAGGTGTGACAAACTTTGTTAAAAATCATCAGATCAAAAAAGCACTCCTACCATTGTGTGGCGTATCCAGGCATGTGCCAAGAGTAGCTCTCTAGTACAAATTTCTTGTGTTATACCAGCAAACAATAGCTAATTTATTTTAGGATATCTCAAAAACTAATTGACTTAGAGTAAAGTAATTACATTTTTGAAATCAGCACCAACAACTCAACCACACTGTGAACTTTCTTTTTAAACACATGAAAATATCAGACATTTCCTCTCAAGTACAGTGTCCCCCTTAGTAGAATTTTATCTGCTGTGGTGACTTGGCAGCCATGGCATCGCACTGTGAAGCAGGATGCTGTGGGCCATGGCGACTGCAGTTTCATGGTGTTAAATACAAAAATGCTTGTGTTACTTCATTATGTGCAAGTTTACATGAACGACTTGGCTGATATTGTGCCTGAGGATATAAGCATTCAATTATTTGCTGACGATTGTATTTTGTTCAAAGAAATATTTCCTAAAGACTATCAGAATGTACCGTATTTACTCACGTAATGAATGCACTCGCATAGTGAACGCAACCACAACTTCAGCCATCAAATTTTGGAGTTTTTTTCTCCGCGTAATAAACGCACCCCCTACATTCATCCTTTGCAGTCCCGCTAATTGACACCTGGCGCCTCCTCACCCGTTGGATCTCTTGTTTTTTATTATTTTGCCGACCGCCCCCTTCCCCGGCAACTTCGGCTCACTCCCTTCGCCTGTTGCCGCGTGCCGCGCCGTGTAGTTTTTCTTTCTATCGGTGCGTGCAACGTCCCCCATCTTCTTTGTGCGTCATAGCAGGGTTCATGAACTGTGCGAGTGTAGACATCACAGCTGATAAGCACCCAGCGACCGAAGGTCACGAAGCTGCCCGCGCCAGCCGACGATCGCTTCCTGCGAATACGAACAAGTCCAACCATGTGCACGTGACTTTCGAGCGATGACAACAGGATTTGCTGTCGCGAAGGGTCATTCGTTGCTATCGCGTGCAGATTTCTGGAAAACA